TTTAATATAAATTTATCTAAAAGTAGCCTTAAAAATGGAATCCTATCTCTTTAAGCAAATTAAGCGAATCCAGTTAAAGGTAATTGGCCCACATCCCAATGGAATTCTATTATTTTAAGAAAATTCGGTAACAAACTTTTTAACTAGTAGACCCATAACGTTCTTCAATATTAATTTAAGTAAGTATCGTTTTAAAAACTATAAAAATTTAACGACACAAATCACATCTTTTCACGATTTCTTGAATTATTCCCGAACGTAATCAGAAGGGAAAAGAGGTTAAATATACATGCAGCTCTGAGAAAGTCACGTGATTGAAAGATCGATGAGTTAGTTTCCACCAGAAAAGAAAAATTCGACCCTAGAGAGATGGGCATTCTCCCTATAGAGAGGAGTAGAAGATGGCCTGTCTTGTTGCCTTCTTGCCTACATCACCTTCACTGATAAATTCTCTTAATGCTATTTATATCTAGACCATTTTCCGGAATTTGTAAATTTAAACAGTTACAAATCCATATGCGAATTTTCAAAGTTGATTTCTGAATTATACAGTAGAACCGTGACCTACAATTTATAAAAACATCGAAAAGTAGACGTGAGATATAAAGTATGCAGGAAAAGGATTTTAACTCTTTGTTAAAAAACGAAAATAATAACAATAATAATAATATAAAAATAAAATGATTATTTTTATAGTTTTTTATTGGCCATTGAATTCTTAGATTATATAGCTTTATATAAAGAACAGTTTTCATAAATAAAATTTCCACAAAGAAAAGGTAAATAAGCTCTATAAAATGTGCGGCAATACGAGGAAAAAATAACGATTGCTTTTGAAAAATTGTAAAAAAATAAAATGTAATAAGCTAAAAAAATGTGATTTTTAAAAATATATCGCTAGACATCTACAACATTTCTGTCATTTCGAGGTATTTTGTGTCAAGAAATATTTCCATCTAAACGTTTGATTTTGAAATACCCATTTAGACGAAAAAAGCAATATTTTTTTATTTTTTTCCACATAATATTTCACTAAGTCAGCTCGAATGTATATTTTTTTGATATTTTTAATATACAGACAGAATCGATACACAGAACTAACTGTAAAAATAATTCGTCAGCAACTCATGCAAGAAGTAAAAAAAATGAAAGAAATCTTTCTATAAAACGTGATAAATAAACCAGAATATTAATTATCATTTGCCAATTTTTTTGACAACGTTAACAAAGTCTATAATTTAAAAGCAATTTTTGAAGAAATCACTAAAGAAGAGAAGAAAAGTAGTAGTAGTAGTACTAGTAGTAGTATCGCTTTTCGATTTCATGTGCTCTTCGCTGAATTTTTTTAATATTTTTTTCTAGTTTTTTTCTTTTCTACCGAAATAAAAACAAACGTGACACCTCGGTTCTGTTATAGGGTATGGTTGCTGGAGCGAACACCATATGTTTCGGATCGCAAGAGCGTAAAAGAAATACATCAATTAAAGGAGATCGAAGGATGGATATGTTACGTCTTTTTATCTGTAGAAATGTTCTTAAATTGCACTTTTTTTCAAAGGAAGTTTTTTGTACTTTTCCCCTTTACGTTTACGAAAGGTGGGTAATTTATCACGAGCTGTTTAAGGATGGAAAGATGCGTCGTATACAGATATATTTCTTCTAAAAAACATATATATATATATATATTTATAAAAAAAATCTAACTCTGGATATCAGTCTTTCTTCTTTTTACATTAAAAAAAAAATATTTCGTTGACTAGAAAACGAAACAACAGAAGATTTATCTTTTCTAGTTTAAAATAAAATTTAAAGACTAATCTCGCCTTTTCTGTTAACGATCTCTTTGAAAGTCTAGAAAGACGTAACAGAAAGTAGATCAACATTTATTTGCTTTAAATAGAAGTAACAGTAGAAAATCAATTCAGTAAAAAATAAAAAACAAATAAAAAAAACAGAAAAAATAGACTACACCCGCGAAGTATGATTAAAAGTTACTCCTCGAGACATAAACCAATAGAGCTGTTTTGAAAGATTTTAAAAGAATTAATAACCAATGAAATCGTTAATAGCTAACAGCTGTTTACATGTCTTGCGATAATTAGTCAATTTACATTCTCTACGACCAATCAGTTCTAAACAATAATTCCCGGTTTAAGAACATATGACGCAATAATGTTTAACCAATAAATTAAATTTTACATNTATGGCCTAGATATAGGTTCTATCTATAAAGTTTTAGCAATGTTTTAAGCATTGGACCTTCACATTTATAAAAATACTTTATTACATTTTATTTTCTATAAAATACACAAAAGAGAAATAAAATATAAAGAGTAAAAAATACATATAAAAGTTTTAAAAATAAAATAAACAAGTATAAAATATAGAAAGTAAAAAAGTAAAAAAAAAGAAGTATAATTTTAGTTTTGAAATTTAAAAAAATATATATAGGAAGGCCCAAAAGTCAGTTAACCATTATAAATTGCTATCGTATTCATATACTTAACTATTTAATCATACTTTTTATTTCCAACTGTATAAAAAAAACTACAGTGTTTTATAGCTCTACAGCCAATTTAAAATTCGCCTACACAATTTACAAATGTACTGTACCGTACTGTACTGTACCTGAAGCATATAAAACAAAATATGATTAACCGAATTTTGTGTCATCCTATATATTTTGATTCTTAAAATGATTGAAAATACTATACTACATTTAATTTTAATTTTTTAAATCCAATTTTGAAATCTAATAGAAATTTTTACAGAAGCAGGTTTTTTTTTATAAGAAATCTTTTAAAAAAAGAACATTTTAAATTTCAGGACATCACCAAAAATCCAGTATTTAGTTTAAGATTCTCGAAAAATACCAAACTTTTCCAACTCAACTTGAATGCTGGAGTAAAAGCTTCAAAGTCTATAGCTTAAAGAAAGTATGATACATTCCAAGAGGACACCTTTTGCCATGCATTTAAAATATGCTAATAAAAATATCCGATGTTTAAACCTGAAATATATTTTCAAGAAGTTAAAATCACCTTAAAATTGAACTTGAAGATTGTCATCAACTTAGGTAAAAAAACCGAAAATGTTCATGAAATGAATTGAATCGAAAGAAAGTCATTTAAACCTTCGTTACTCCTTTAAATTTGAATTAAGAAATAAACTATTGAATAAATAATCAATCTCTTCAACGATTAATGCCAAATTAAAAACTTTTTTTTTTGGTTTTTGATATATTTAAAACGGATCTGGAAACAATTTCCAATTCTATTAAAATGAATCGAAGAAAAAGAAAATGAATAGGAAAAGAGGAAAGAAAAAAAAAAAAACAATAGATGAAGAAGTTCTATCAATTCAAATTCAGAAATCTAAACACCAAAGGGACGAACGGTGCAAAAATGAAGTAAATTGCTATGACAGGTAAAAGCTGATTAAGAAAAGAAAGAGCAAAAAAAGAAATTTACAAAACTCCAAGTTAATTAAATTCTCGGAGTTGTTGCGGTTTCTAATTTACATATAACATTAACCAAGCTTTCTTTAAGAAATTGGTTTTGTTTAAAATTGTTGCTCCTTAAACGAGAAAGCGATAAAATCTGTTTAATTTCTATTAAACAATACTTCACCCTCTTAAAATTTAATAAACTGTTTCATCGCTTTAATAGATAGCTCATAACTTTTTTAATTTCATCTTTTGCTCTTCCATATTTTTTTCAAGAAAAACAACAAAAATATAATAATTGAAAATGGTGGAAATTTCGTGACGTTCTTATCAGGAAAGACGTCACGCAACCGAGCCGAAGTTTTGACCAATCGGAGCGTATGTAAGGAAGTGAGACATACATCATCCCGTATGTCGTTTTGTCCCCCTTTAAAGATCCATGTAGTTCGCTCACTTGATCGGAATTTGAACGACGAGTAAATAAACAAAATTGGGTTTCTTTTGACAGAAAGTGCTTTTGATAGTTTGAATGCCAAACTCGCACATCTCTGGCACATATCCAAAGTATGGGGACATCTAGATCGATGGGGTTTGGTGACATCTACACCTGCTCCAGCAATTGTCTTCAAAACAATAAGAATTGAAATTCTCAACGAAATAGACTCTCGCTTAATGTTATCTATTTTCTTGTCGAGTTAGATGGTTCCGTTAATTAATTATTTTCTCTTTTAAATACGTTTAACATTTAATTAACTAGTTAAAAGTTAGTCTAGTAGGAAGCGATGGTGGCATTTCTGTCAGCTTACTTCTTTTCATAACGATTCTGCGATTGAAATTCAAAAGAATAGCAATTCAATAACAATTCGTATTTGTCGAGGGGTGTTCGAACCCATTACGACTTCGTCTGGCTCAAATTTAGTTATACGAAACACACATAAACTCAGTTAATTTCTGTAGTTTGGTAAGCTATTGCGCTTGCACCAAGCTCTCGGAAAATATTTAATTAGTTGCTGAAGGACCCCTGAGATAATTGATGTTTACCCTCAAGCTAGTCAGGCCGCAATGCAGATTTATCCCTTCACCAGCCCCTTCAGGTGTTTATCTCCCTCTTATCCCCATGAAACGCGGTTAAATAATAGAATAATATATAGCAAAAGGTCAGAGAAAAAAGTTTAAGGGAATTGACTTTCGCAAGAAAAACTTTATTAAAAAGAAAATGTCAAATTTTGCAATATTTACTCGAGTATAAATAACGTTCTGCTTCGTTGGTTTTGATGAGGGAACTGTCTCCTCCTCGATTCAAGGTAATCTTACCCCCCAGGCAATAAGTGGGAACGAATTCCTATAACAACGGGACCTATAATTGGTAGACGGCCAAGTCGTTGAGGCGCATTCTTTCATATAACAAGCTCAACAAAGAACGGACACCACCAGAGAAGAAGCTTTAAAAAATTCACGCGACAGGTATAAAGTCCGGAAAGAAAAGGTATAGGTATATAGCGAGAAAGAGTGTAGAGCACGTAGTGAACAAAGAAAACAAACAGGTATTACTCACAACCATGTATGTCGCTGCATAATAACTGCCGTACTTCACGTTGGTCCACGAGTAACGTAGAAATGGGGTCCAACACTTCTCCAGGACCGGCATTTCGCGGGGGTGGTAATGACGCGTTTCAATCTACAGAGATTCCATAACCAATGACGCCTTCCGTAATCGTGTTATGTTGTTCAACCCACTTTCCAAACGTTGCGCGTCGCGAGTTCACAGCCTTGCGAGTGCCCCGGGTCACATCGCAGTCAGACTGACATCAACTCCTGCCAACATCTACGTATGGCCTCGAAACGCCGGTGTCGCCATCTGTCGTCGAGTGGCAGAAATCTTTAAAAATTCACTCCCCGAATATCCTATTTTAAAAGATAATTATTCTCGAAAACTCGCGCTTTAATCAGAAACAAGTTATTTACAACACCCGACGGTTTCGTTCTAGAGTAATTATATTCTTATCTCTAGGATATTTTGGCTGAAAATGTCAAATAAATTTTCGATATTATATATTTTTTTAATGCTCCTTTCTTCCTCAATAAAAAACTTACTTTCTAACATATATCAAACTTTAAATACCATCAATAGATACTCCGCCTATATAAGTATGTAACTTAATTATAAATTTCCATAAAGTGTACATTGATTAAAGTAAAAAATCGGAATTAAAGTTAAGTTTAAGAATATTTAATTACCGTATATAAATAATTATTAACTTAATTTACAATCTATTTAGTTAATTATAAGCGAAAAAAACGAGCGAAACCGTAACCAACAACAGAAAATGTTTCTGTTTTACAATACTGGTATTATAAATTATCTCCAAGTGAAGATTGAGTTTCTACATTTTAATATTACTTTTTTCTTTTCTTATTTTCAGAGAAAATTGTCTCAGATTTTGAATTTTCTTAACTTTGTATAGCTTCAGATTCCTTGCAGACATCTTATTAAAGATTCTTCTTTCGTTTGACTCTCTCCATCACTTCATTTTTCATGTTCATATTCTTGGAATCAGCAAATTCCACTCAATATAGCTATTTTCTCCGTTATCTAAACTTTAAAATTTCGAAATTACCTACTCGATTTTGTAATTACCTTATCAGAAAATTAAAAAAAAAAAACTTTTTAAAGTATAATGATATATAAAAATTTTTATTTTAATTGAAGTAACTTTGCAGAAACATAAGCTTAACTATGATTAAATATACGATAAATAAATATTTTTCTTATTGATCCTTATAAAAAAAAAGTTGTGCTTAGAAAGTTTCTTTATTTTTATTTTATCCACAAAATTGTTTTTTTGTATTCTTTCTTCTTCGTTTTTATTTTGTGGGCGAAGCAAAATTGTCCTTGACATTTACTCTTCAGTAATTTAGTTATAGAAAATAAAGACTCAAAGTTAGTTCTTAACCGAATGAAATCATTGTTATCAAAGTTTGAAGTTTCATAGTTTAAAATATAAGTTAATAATGAAAATCCAGCTTAGAAAAAAATAAAAATAAAATAAAAATAAAACTTTAAAATTAAATAGATTTTGACGTTGAAAATCCTTAACTAAATTNATATATATATATATATATTTATAAAAAAAATCTAAAAAAAGTTTAGATTTAGATATTAAGATCTAACAATTTAGACCTTTACGAGATTTAAAATGCAGTCCAATCTCAATATAATGTCTTTTAAATAGTGCTATCATCATAAAACGTTAATGAATATTACAAACATTAAACAGAGAATCTTTCAGTGTCTATGAATTGCGACATTATCACCAAATCACGTGATTTTCGAACTCTCAAACTGGAATTTGTGTGTAGACGTCATCACTATACTTAATTCTTATTGTGTAAAGTCATTCAGTTAAGTGTCACCCTCGATTTAGTGCCGGGGTGACGCTAAATCGAAGTGTGACTAATAGAAAATAATTGACTCCTTCTACTAATAGAAAATAATTCTCCTTTTCTTGTACAGTAAACATTCGAATTCGAATTTTATTAGTTTAGATTTATTTTTATATTTTTAAAATAATGATATTATCTTCTAAAACTAATAAAAGAAACAGCTAATTCTAAGAAACACATCTAATAAAAAGTACTTTTTAAATTAAACAAAATCACATTAAAAAGCTATAAAATGAAATTAGTTTTTAAGTTGAATAGTTGTCAAATTTAAAAAGAATTCTAAAAATCTAGCTATTTTTCAATCGAAAAATAATAAATTTATTTAAATTTATAGCATTTCATAATAACAATTAATTAAAAAATAAGTAAATTAATTACCAAAATAACGTTTTCCAAAATGAAAGAACGGCGCATTTAATCGAAAAATACGTAAAATTCAACAAAATTTTAAGGGTAAAAAGAATTATGGAGCTGTTTAGAACAAAGCAAACTTTCTAAAAAATTTTAAAAAATTAAAAATTCAAGGGAAAAAATCGATAAAATTCGCAAAAGTAGACCAAGACTTTTAATTTAAGGATGTAAAAAGAGGAAGAAAAACTACCTCATAAATAGCATTATACGTTGTCCAGTTTAACAATTATTTAAGCATTAAGGACAGAGGAATTGTTTTGTTTTAGTCAAATTCCACTTCACTTAATGGAATGAAATTTGTAGAAAGGCAAAAGACCTCTTTATAATAGCCCAAAATAAAGGGAATGAAAAATNCAGTGTAATTAAAAGTTATGTATATTTACTATATCTATATCCATGACGTTTTAGACCATAGACAAAGAAGATATTTATTCTCATTTTTAGTTATTACTGTTATAATTAAGAAAAAATAAATTTAGTGATAAGTATCGGTGTGACTATTCCAAATGTTTAATTTAGAATAGTCCAAATTGGGTTCCAAAATTTATTTTGCCTATAACCCAGAAATCTATAACATGTCACTGTTTACATCTACTTTACTGTGTATTTACTACACAGTAAAGTAGATGATTTCGTATATGATTTCATAAATTCTCATAGAATACTGTACGATGTGATATAGCAGCACATTAACAAGCAATATAATATTATATCCTATCAGATTTATAGATCTTTCCCATCGTAAGGTTTTCATATATCATGTTTACATTAATAAATCTTTTATTATGTTATATTTATAATTACAGAACATTCTTAATTGTATAGAATCTTTATATACTTACGTATTTAATATAATTAGAAATCTAACAAAATAAATAATTTTGTATAGTAACTAAACTTTTAACTTAATAAATTAATTTAGTATTATAAAATATATATAAAAAATTAACAGGATAAAGAACTTAAAGTAATTAATTTATATTTCCGTAGATTAAAAATTTTAAATTTAATTATATTAGAAGAAAAATTAGACATTAAAACTTAATTTTCTCTCATTTTTCCATACGTAGTTTATAAAATTAAATATAATTTCATTCGATCCTCGTAAATGTCGAACTTTACACATCAACAATATTTGTACAAGGTGTAACTCTCAGAATTACGATATAATAAATAACTACAGGTATTAAAAATATCGTTAATTTTATGATCCAAACAATAAAAATCATATTTTAAAAATAATTATTCTCTTTCACATTAATATTGTAAAATAAAAGCTTTCTTCACTTTAAAATCTTTGAAATATTTCACTTTTTGAGAAAGTCCTCTTGAGATTATATGATAAATTTTTGTACATGAAAGAAAGAAATAGATAAAAATAAAAATAAAAAAATAAAAACAAAATCGAAAGTTTACGAGGGGACAAATTATAAGTAGACAGAAAATAACTCTCCAGTTAATTGATAACTATGTTTCATTTTAAGTTATGGGTTTGGTCTTTTTTTCCGCACTAAAATCGATAAAAATCGAAAGAAGATCACGTCAAAGGTGAAAATAATAGTAATTATTAAAAACCATGATATAAACTATGTTATATAAACTCTACTCTATCGAAAACTATAATAAATTAAGTCAAGAAGATTAAAGTTTTATTTTTATAATTATAAATAAGCTAGTATAGGAAAAAAAATTACATTATTTTAAGCTTACCTATTTTATCTTGATTAAAATAAGGTCCGAAGAATGTTGTTTGCCCATCGCAAATAACATACAATGCATATATCAAAAATGCAAAATGGAATACCTAATACAAGAAAAAAAATGTATATATAAAAATGGAGTATGATAAAATGTACTGTACAGTATATAAAAAATTTTAAAAAATTAAAAATTCAAGGGAAAAAATCGATAAAATTCGCAAAAGTAGACCAAGACTTTTAATTTAAGGATGTAAAAAGAGGAAGAAAAACTACCTCATAAATAGCATTATACGTTGTCCAGTTTAACAATTATTTAAGCATTAAGGACAGAGGAATTGTTTTGTTTTAGTCAAATTCCACTTCACTTAATGGAATGAAATTTGTAGAAAGGCAAAAGACCTCTTTATAATAGCCCAAAATAAAGATAATGAAAAATACTTATTAAACATGTAAAATTTTGATATTTTTAGAAATTTTACAAGCTATCTTTTGCCAAGGTGATAGTAAAAAAATTTTAAAAAAAGCAAGAAGAAGAAGACATCCTGTGGTTATATGATGGGAGCGTTAAAGGGAGAGATGTCGTAGAGTAACGCTAGAGGCTTCTTTACAGCATCACTCCTCTTGTCTTGTCATCGATTCTCATCGATCTTTTTTCGACTGTTAAGTCATTCTGATGAGAAACTACAAGATTTTAAAGGAATATCTTGCCTTGTATAAGTAAAGAAGTCGAAAGTTTCGACTTCTTAACTCGAGTTTCGAGCCAGAACACTTTTTAAAAAATACATAATCAAGATTTATGAGGCTATAAATAGATGAAAATACATTAAAAGAGGAGGTTAGTTGAAGTTTTTCGACGAGATTCCGTAAAGAAAATCATCATACGAAGCAAGTTTTGGTTGTATAGAATTGTAGCGATTGAATCTAGATAAATATATATATATATAAAATAGAGGGGCATGCAAAATGAAAGAACCAAATCAAGTTTGTGGTATGTCAAACAAACTTATATTGGAAGAGAACGGTAACGCCGAAGCATCATTCTTACCTGATTAAGTCTACTGTGAAATGACGCCAACATGAATGATGTGTCAATCCATCATGTAGATTATAAATGGCATTTTCTATATCGACAGACTCTGTAGATGAAGATTAGATTACTCTGCAGAATACTATAGGTTAGCTGAATTGTTCTATTGAAGATTCTGAAACCAGAACATAGCGTCATACATTAATATATATAGCAATTTTAATCTTTCTGGTGTTTTTAAATTAAGTGCCAAATGTTTTTTAAAATATTTAAAAATAATCAAAAAATTTAAATAATTTTAATGAGATTTTAATATTGTATTATATGATATTAAAAAATTGCTATATTTTATAAAAATTTTTTGAATTTTTTTATTTTAAAGTGGCGCCATCTAACGACAAAGTTTTCATAATTTCAAAACTTGTTAAAAATTATACTTACGTTTAAACTGAAATTTTATTATTTTTTAAATTATTTATTTTCGATTTTATCTTTACATATTGTAACGACACGCAACTAATATGAAAATATTAAAAATAAGTATTAAAATTTTTTAAATGATAAAAATAAATATTTTTTTACATCTTTATTTTTGTTTTCCGTAATTATATTTACACTAATTTATTTAATTAACTTACCATTTATATAAAAATTAAAAATAATTAATTCAGAATTAAGTTAACAGATGGCACCACATTTGTGTCGGTCCCAGACAGGCATTTACGTTTACCCAATCAATAAATAGCTGTGAAAAATGTCTGAAATTACAAATTTTTATGAATAAACGGATATTTTAGAAAGGAAAGCATTTGTTTTACTGATAAAAGTACAAAATTTAAACTTACATTAAGACAGGAAGAGAAACGGTATATAAATCTCTCCCGTTCCAAGTATAATTACAGTCCAGTCAAAGTAAATATCCATCTTTTAACAATATTTGCTACCAAACACGAAAAAAGTAAACATTAATAATAAATTATTTACCTGAATAGGTGAATAATCAGTATTTTTTCCCCAATTGGGGAGATTTTAGCGCACGCCGGTCACGTGAGCAACCCAAAACTATCGACAATTGGCAACAGGGCACTTCCCCACCGAGACGCACTCCCACAGGCTTATTGTATAGACGTCAAACAAAAACTTCCCACCGTATATTTTAACATATTTCCGGAAAAAAGCGAAAAATCTTTGGGTCGAAACTAGTACAATTTTCTATTTATTGCCCCGAAGATCGCGTGCCAATCGGTAAACATTGAGGCTAAAGAAATCAGATCCCTATTGGCATAATCCAGCTGTCCGAGTTTTTGGCTTGACCATTGGCCATTAAACAACGTGTAAGGCTAAGAAAAACCGTATTTATGATATTTGTATAGAGGGAAGACGATAGGACACGAGTGGACACGAATGGTTCTTTCCCACATTATATTCCATGAGAAGTAAATTACTCACTACCCACATTTATGTGCTTTTTCATTACCTATTTCTATCGGTTTTTATGAGAAAAACAATTTTTGTTCGCTCTCACAAAGTGACTTTTGTCTTTTTTTCTCTCAAAAGAGAGCGAGAGAAATTGCTGTTTTCTTCTGTGATGTGGTTTTCAACAATAATTCTTCATAATTTTTATGTGGATGAATTTAACTTATTTTTCAAATTTTTATGAATTTTTTTGTACAGTACTGTACTTGCATATTTATTTAATGCATGAATTGAATATAGAAATCATCAAAAATTAATTTACAAATTAATCTACACCATTTGTAAATTAAACAATTTTTATAAACAAAAACTTTTCTTTAAATTTAAGGTTATTAAATATATTTTCTAAAAATGAAGAAGTGAGAATTGAACGCATGTTTTTTTTTTTCTGCATGAAAGTCTGAATTGAAATGATTAATTTATGATTTATTTTAATAGAAGGAAAGATATAAGAGGCATAACATAAAATTATATGTTATTAGCCAACACAGTGTTTTTAATAAAAAGACACAAATTTTTCTAAAGAAAACAATCGTTCCATAAATCAAATACTTTTAGAAATCAAAGAAAGAAAGATGTAGTATTATACTCTTGCCCTTTTTGGATTATAAGCCTATGTATGTATGGGAGAAGATAAACCATTTTAGGTTTGAGAGCATCAAGTTGCTAAAAATATAATGGAATAAGTTTATTAATTACTGGAATAGATTTATAACTGTATATCTTTACTTAAGGATTTTATATTTAAATCCTTTTATTACGTATATGAAAGAATATTGAGTATTGTAAAACTTTTAAAATCAAATAAAAAAGTATATTTAAAAATAATACAATTGAAAACTAAATACAAATAAAATTTGCTGTCTTGTCAGATCATTTCTATGATTGGAAAGGATACGACAAAATAGCAAATTTTATTCTTTTTATTTAAATATTCAGTCTAGTTTTTAAATCTTTCTTTCTGTTTATTCTCATTCGCTTAAATTTCAATTCAATTTGTAACGTTAAAATTAAACCGACAAATTAATATAGAAGTGTAAATGATAATTAATGTTTTTAATTAGTGTAATTAATTATTGAAACTAATTAAAAACATTTAACAGATATGCTTATTTAATAAATTCACTTCAAGTTTAATCATTAAGAAACCCATTTGATACAAAGAAATTTCAGAGGTATTTTTAGTCCTTCCTTATATGATCATTCAAATTTTTCACGTTTAGAAACATGACACTTTTGGTTTACAAAGAAAAATTATAAAATAAATTTAAATATATAAAACCTTATTCTATTGTGAATCTATTTATCTCAGACACTTCATTAAAGTCTGAAATATAAAAATGTAAAATATGATATCATTTTCATCTATCTTCTGTTGTTATTAATTCTTTACGCACGAATTCATCAGGCCGTAAAGAATATAATCTAATCTACGCGTTTATATTGTCTAAAAATGAAGTTATTATTATAGTTTATGACACAAGTACCGTAAATTTTACTGAAAGCTTATAGGATAAAGGATTTAATAGGGCTATTAAGATCATGGAGAAATTTCAAATATATCGATTTAAATCTCATTATCTTGTTCTTTAAAAACCCTTATTGTTCGTTAATACATTTAAAAATATAAAAAATAGACTTGTATAATATATCATTTATTGATAAATTATACCAAAAACTTGAAATAGTTTACCATCATAAATGTCGTCGATTTCATTAAATAAATTAAAATTATACATAAAGATCTTAACTTATACTCGTAAACTTAATATAGTAGACTATAGATCTAATTAAGAGTTTAATTTAAACGAACTTCTCTCAATTTAAACTTGAAATAAATATGAAATTTTAAAGAAGAATAAATGGTCGTCACGAATTAAATGTGCTATTATTGAAGTTCGTCGCTTCTAAAAATTAATTTTAAACAGGTTTAATGAAATAAATTAATACAACCGCTACAAAGTTTAAAATCCTTAAAATGTATACATTTAATTTGTTTCATTATCTTTATAAGTCTCTCAATATATTTATTTATTAAACGTAATAGACGTCCTGTTACAAGAAATCTGTCCAAACTGAAATCTATTGTGATCTCTTCACAAACAACATTTAGGAAGGAGGAGCCAGGGAGGGGATAATTTCTTCCTCTGTAATCCTTCTTTCATAACTGGAACATTACAGGAAGTTCAATCAGGGTGGGAGTGACGTTCTAGCGGATTAAATCAGCTAATTATAGTGCAGGTCCCAAGAGACTATTTCGGTTTGTTTGGCCTGCTTTATAGCATCGATCTTCCTAAACTGATGCATGAATTGTTACAATTTATGAATATAAAAACATCAGTCGATATAAGATAGTAATGTAAATATAAATTAAAATTTTAAACTGCGCCAATTAAACTTATAGACTACATTATTAATTTACTCATAAGTATAGAGCACGAATTCGAATTTATTTATGCAAATTTTTTAATAGACTATTTTATTTAAAATATTATAAAATTGTACATTTATTTATATAATGCAGTTAATAATATTTGCATTGGTTTTCTATTGCAAAATAAATTAAACTGAGTATCGATTTTGAGAATTTTTATCGTTACCTGTAATAAATAATATAGGCCTACATTTATGCGCTATACTAAAAGGGCAAATAAAATTTATTAAATAATTATTTTAGTATTCACATAAAAACATAAAAAAACAATAGGATTATGTATTAAAAAGAATAAATTAAATTCTAAATAAAGAAGATATTTTTTAAACAGATTTTTGCGACAAAGCGGAGAAGATAAGTTGATAAATCGCTTACCGTTTATCAGATTATTTTCGAATTTTGCATATTTATCTTAAGGCTTATCAGCAAAATTGTATATAATCTACCATAGTTCCAAGTTACAACTTTTATCCGGAATGAGTATCGATTCCGAGAACACTATAGAGTCTTCGTATGAAAAGGGAAAAGTAAGCCTAGTACTAGTTAATAATGATTCAACAAATATCTATAACAATTATCGGCTTGTCAATTCTGGCGCCAGTCACGTGTACAGGAAGTTGTATCCATATCTACTTCCTGTTTATAATAAAACCGCAAAAATTAATGATCTGAGAATAGGAAGTGTAAGGATAATTTTGAAGTTAATTCGAATTTATAATGAATAATTAGAAAATTATAATTGTAGTTATATTGATTTACTAGTAAAGTTAATCTGTTACTTTGTGTAAAATAGCATGAAACTTTTATGTCAAGTTAACTATACATTAAAATGCAGTATAAAAAATGAAACAATAGAAAATTTTATCGTTAGGATAATCAAAACAATTGATATAATTGTAAAGTTAAAAATGCTTTTATTTAAAGTTTAAAAAAGAATACAATAGGTGACAATCAGTTACATCTAAGTGCTGTTGATAATGTTGACTTTTAGCTGCCAGCTGTTGTCGAAACAAATGCAAAGTTGTACAGTCTGACAGATGAAATTATATTGTATTTAATAAAAGACTTTTTAATTTTAAATAACGTTATACATAATTTAATTTTTATTGTAGACAAAAAGAGATTGAGAGAGTATCTAACGCATGATTCCAGGAATTGGTTTTTAAGTTAAAACTATAAATATTTCTCTCATTAAATATTTATTATATAATTTTATTCGGAATTAAAATTAATTTAAATATACGAAAAAACTTAATTAAACAGAAAGCATAATTTTAATTAAGTTGTAATGTTTAAAAAAATTATCCCGAAATTTAGCTTAGTTAAAAGTTATGAAGGAAACATCTGTGAAATTATACTTGAGATACAATGCATAGGAATGGCATCAATAGACAAAATTATAAAATAATTAATCCTAAATAACGAACGTAGAAAAGATTTAGGAACTGTTAAATTAAATAATAGCTTTATAAAAGACAATTAAGCCTCGCGTCAATGTAATGAAGTGTTGCAGCGCACTTTCACTTTTCAATCAGCGTTGTCCTCGCTCAGGGATAATTAATACAAAATGTTTTTAATAAGAAATACCCGAGGGAATTTAGAGTGGAAATCACTTGATTGTCGCAACTAAAACATCAATTTTGAACGATAGCGTGCAGGAAAAGAGCGTTACTCTAGGGACACTAACTAAATTGTTCCTAGAATTAAATGTCGTCATTTTATATAAATCCAATATTGTTTAGTACACGCTGGATTATCTTTTAGCCATTTTATTGAGCTATTAAAATATTTAAAAGTTAAATGGTTTCTTGCAGATTTACCTTGTGTTGTTCTTAAATTAGTTTCTCCTTCCGAACAAGATTAAGATTTTCGCAACAAATAACCGTTATTTGATCACAATGCCTTTAAACGGACCATCTGGCATCCATTGTAGAAGCGGGGGTGTTATAACTGACGTGGTAGAGTCCGTTATTGACCAGGACGGAGTCGAGCTGTCATCGTAGGAATGACAAATGATCAACATTTCGGTCACCTAAACCCGGTCAAAGTCGAGTGTTGGGCCATAGAAGTGATTGGGATATTCTTCGTCAAGTGCACAGCAGGATCGCAGCAGTCCAAAAATTGACTCTCTTGACAAATTACCTGCTTGGAAATTTGAAGTCTCTTTTACATCCCCCTCCTCTTACAAACAATGAAAGAGCCCTGGGGCGAAAACTTCCCTTACTAGAAAGGGGAGGGTTAAATAGCTTCTGGTCTTTACTGTATAAAATGGGAAAGGCTACGATTATTTTCTCGTTTGTTCACTTTTATTATGGTTATTTAAAGATTGATATAATATTAGAGTAACAGATAGAATGTGGAAGTTGCAACGATTCCAGTTTCAGGCATATCGGTACAAAATCGAGAACTTCAGATAAGTGGAAAATCAAAATTTATATGCTTAATAATATGGAAGTTCGTTGCAGAGGAGGAATACAGAAGATATAAACCAACAACAGTTGGGAATGAATGTATTATGTGGAACAAATAAAGCATAAAGCGGCATAGTATACGTACAAAGTGGAGAAAAGTGGTCACAATAGATGTTGAAATCTATATGAAAGGTATCTATATACTGAAAAGGAGCATTTGGCATTAATAAACAGGATGATAAAAGTCTGTTGAGGAACACCCACATAGCGAATGCCATGTCATGTTATGCTAGAGACGAGTTTAAGCGGTGTATTATGGGATGTACGCTCCACTCATCCACGTGTGAACAGCATTAGACCAGCGGCCGCTCAAAGGAGCAGTCTAGGTCCCCGACGTGTGACTATTGTTTGCTTCTGTTGGGCGTACATCCTCCTCTTTACCTGGATTCAGTCGCACACTAATGGGAGAAGCTCCCTAACTCCTTATTGTGACGTAACCATTAATTCTAGTTCGTCTGATTCTAGTTCACCTGCCTGGCTGGAAGATTTAATTTCTTTATTAACCGATAGATGTCGTGGTATGAAAATTTGGCCCACTTTTTGAATATATTAAAAACAGCCCAAAAATTGCTTAAATTTTCTGTATAAATGAAAAAACAAATTAAGTTTAATTTTATATAAAATTTATTAAATAATTATTTTAGTATTCACATAAAAACATAAAAAAACAATAGGATTATGTATTAAAAAGAATAAATTAAATTCTAAATAAAGAAGATATTTTTTAAACAGATTTTTGCGACAAAGCGGAGAAGATAAGTTGATAAATCGCTTACCGTTTATCAGATTATTTTCGAATTTTGCATATTTATCTTAAGGCTTATCAGCAAAATTGTATATAATCTACCATAGTTCCAAGTTACAACTTTTATCCGGAATGAGTATCGATTCCGAGAACACTATAGAGTCTTCGTATGAAAAGGGAAAAGTAAGCCTAGTACTAGTTAATAATGATTCAACAAATATCTATAACAATTATCGGCTTGTCAATTCTGGCGCCAGTCACGTGTACAGGAAGTTGTATCCATATCTACTTCCTGTTTATAATAAAACCGCAAAAATTAATGATCTGAGAATAGGAAGTGTAAGGATAATTTTGAAGTTAATTCGAATTTATAATGAATAATTAGAAAATTATAATTGTAGTTATATTGATTTACTAGTAAAGTTAATCTGTTACTTTGTGTAAAATAGCATGAAACTTTTATGTCAAGTTAACTATACATTAAAATGCAGTATAAAAAATGAAACAATAGAAAATTTTATCGTTAGGATAATCAAAACAATTGATATAATTGTAAAGTTAAAAATGCTTTTATTTAAAGTTTAAAAAAGAATACAATAGGTGACAATCAGTTACATCTAAGTGCTGTTGATAATGTTGACTTTTAGCTGCCAGCTGTTGTCGAAACAAATGCAAAGTTGTACAGTCTGACAGATGAAATTATATTGTATTTAATAAAAGACTTTTTAATTTTAAATAACGTTATACATAATTTAATTTTTATTGTAGACAAAAAGAGATTGAGAGAGTATCTAACGCATGATTCCAGGAATTGGTTTTTAAGTTAAAACTATAAATATTTCTCTCATTAAATATTTATTATATAATTTTATTCGGAATTAAAATTAATTTAAATATACGAAAAAACTTAATTAAACAGAAAGCATAATTTTAATTAAGTTGTAATGTTTAAAAAAATTATCCCGAAATTTAGCTTAGTTAAAAGTTATGAAGGAAACATCTGTGAAATTATACTTGAGATACAATGCATAGGAATGGCATCAATAGACAAAATTATAAAATAATTAATCCTAAATAACGAACGTAGAAAAGATTTAGGAACTGTTAAATTAAATAATAGCTTTATAAAAGACAATTAAGCCTCGCGTCAATGTAATGAAGTGTTGCAGCGCACTTTCACTTTTCAATCAGCGTTGTCCTCGCTCAGGGATAATTAATACAAAATGTTTTTAATAAGAAATACCCGAGGGAATTTAGAGTGGAAATCACTTGATTGTCGCAACTAAAACATCAATTTTGAACGATAGCGTGCAGGAAAAGAGCGTTACTCTAGGGACACTAACTAAATTGTTCCTAGAATTAAATGTCGTCATTTTATATAAATCCAATATTGTTTAGTACACGCTGGATTATCTTTTAGCCATTTTATTGAGCTATTAAAATATTTAAAAGTTAAATGGTTTCTTGCAGATTTACCTTGTGTTGTTCTTAAATTAGTTTCTCCTTCCGAACAAGATTAAGATTTTCGCAACAAATAACCGTTATTTGATCACAATGCCTTTAAACGGACCATCTGGCATCCATTGTAGAAGCGGGGGTGTTATAACTGACGTGGTAGAGTCCGTTATTGACCAGGACGGAGTCGAGCTGTCATCGTAGGAATGACAAATGATCAACATTTCGGTCACCTAAACCCGGTCAAAGTCGAGTGTTGGGCCATAGAAGTGATTGGGATATTCTTCGTCAAGTGCACAGCAGGATCGCAGCAGTCCAAAAATTGACTCTCTTGACAAATTACCTGCTTGGAAATTTGAAGTCTCTTTTACATCCCCCTCCTCTTACAAACAATGAAAGAGCCCTGGGGCGAAAACTTCCCTTACTAGAAAGGGGAGGGTTAAATAGCTTCTGGTCTTTACTGTATAAAATGGGAAAGGCTACGATTATTTTCTCGTTTGTTCACTTTTATTATGGTTATTTAAAGATTGATATAATATTAGAGTAACAGATAGAATGTGGAAGTTGCAACGATTCCAGTTTCAGGCATATCGGTACAAAATCGAGAACTTCAGATAAGTGGAAAATCAAAATTTATATGCTTAATAATATGGAAGTTCGTTGCAGAGGAGGAATACAGAAGATATAAACCAACAACAGTTGGGAATGAATGTATTATGTGGAACAAATAAAGCATAAAGCGGCATAGTATACGTACAAAGTGGAGAAAAGTGGTCACAATAGATGTTGAAATCTATATGAAAGGTATCTATATACTGAAAAGGAGCATTTGGCATTAATAAACAGGATGATAAAAGTCTGTTGAGGAACACCCACATAGCGAATGCCATGTCATGTTATGCTAGAGACGAGTTTAAGCGGTGTATTATGGGATGTACGCTCCACTCATCCACGTGTGAACAGCATTAGACCAGCGGCCGCTCAAAGGAGCAGTCTAGGTCCCCGACGTGTGACTATTGTTTGCTTCTGTTGGGCGTACATCCTCCTCTTTACCTGGATTCAGTCGCACACTAATGGGAGAAGCTCCCTAACTCCTTATTGTGACGTAACCATTAATTCTAGTTCGTCTGATTCTAGTTCACCTGCCTGGCTGGAAGATTTAATTTCTTTATTAACCGATAGATGTCGTGGTATGAAAATTTGGCCCACTTTTTGAATATATTAAAAACAGCCCAAAAATTGCTTAAATTTTCTGTATAAATGAAAAAACAAATTAAGTTTAATTTTATATAAAATTTATTAAATCCTGTTTATAACGAAGATTAATTCTGCAAAGAAAATTTATTTGACCTGCCTAAAATAATGTCCGAAGTGGGGATTAATGCTAATAATTAGATCTTTTGCCTAAAAACGTTCTGAGAAGAATTTGCTTAAATTGCATTTAATTGTTTAAAGTTAATTGTTACACATTATAAAAGAAAACTATTCCTAAAATATTTTAAATTTTATTTAACATATCAAATTGTATAATAGCATGTTAAAAAATCATCTTATTAAATAAATTATATCCAAAATAAACACAAAAAGGTAAATAAAACCCATTTTAAAAATGGCATGTTTACAACCAAACATCAAACGAAGGATACTTATTTTACAATTTAATGAAGATATAAGAGCCAACAGAGATAACACTATCTGATCTGAAACGAATCAGATAAGGATAAAAATCTAGGATTAACGGTTTCAGTTTCGACTGAAAAGCCTTTTAAAAAGTCCTAATCCCTTAGAAAGCTTGTCGATGAACTTTCCCAATAGTAAAAGCAGCCCCAGGCCCTAGATCACATTTCTTTGTTGAAGTCTGTATCATAATACAACAATCCGTTCACAACTAAACACACAACAGAACCCATCAGATTGGATTTAGATAAAAAGGGAAAAAAATCATTCTAAACACGAAGGGAAAGGAGGGATTTTCAATGTACTAACCAATTACGAGAAGATTGAACCAATCAAGCTCCTCCCATCACGGATAAAACGATCGCTATTGGTGAACTGTTGATGAGCTTTACTGTATAGCAGAAGAGGGACTAAACTACAAAACTTCACCATTTTCATGTATACTAAAGGATTGAAAGGAGGATGTCACGTTCTTTTTTAGTGGATTCTTTATTAAGTAACCCTCCGGAAGAACCTAAACTTATTAATACTTTAAGAACACCTTGGATCGCTTACCCACGAAAAACTAACTTCTTCGAACGTTCCGCTCATCACCAAGGCCTTTGCTATTTAAAAAAAGGACTAGGCATACACTGTTGTCCAATTTGTATTCAGACAACTAACAACGTAGTTTCTAGCAACGGTAGGAATCAATCGAATCAATCTCAATCCTTGAGGTGTGCATTTCCTTATGCTTCTCTGTCTACGGGAGAAACTTCGCCTTCTTCTCAAGAAGTTCGAGATCGTCACGTGATTCATCAGGGTAGCAAAATAACATCGGGTTCATACGATGATAAAGGTGAGTCTCGATATAATTTTATTCTATTTCTGTGTTTGGTACCGCTTGTCACTCAGTTTAGCGTGAAATTTTGCGTGACGGAGAGCAAAGTAGCTTGCGTGAATGGGGTTAACCAAAGTCATACAATATTCACTAGTTCATTCGGTAAAATGCGCTTTTATTAAAGGTAATAAATCAATTTATAATAAATTAAAGATCATGTCGTAAGCAACGTAGAATGAAAGTTGTCGGTTTATGAAATAATGAGAGAAATTTTGTAATTTTGTAGTCTTTACATGGATGTCCCCGGGGAATTTTACACGTTGAACATATTCAAAACATTTTTAATTATTTAAATTTATAGAAAAACATAATTTACTGAGCATAAGTTAAATATTTTAGCGATCTGTATTTTTCGACCGCATCTAATTTTTTATAAGTCAACTACTGAAAATATTTTTTATTTGTATACTTTTTATTCTCTTCTCATCAATCTTTATCAAGGTTAAATTACGGTAAAACTTGATTTTATCTTCTGTTTATTAAATATTAAAATGTCATATTCTATTAGACANTGTATTATGACTCTGCACAGAATGCATAGCATAAAACATCATTTCTATTGCAAAAAGAAATGAAATCAATCAGCATAACCACAACTGCGACAGGAAGAGAATGTAAAGGTTAGGACGGGTCACATGATTGATGAGGCTTGGGTCAATAATAAACGGTAGAAATTTGTTGACAAACATAAGTATTTATCTGAATAACTACCCTGTTGCATCACAATGGCACAGATTATGACTCTTCTGCTTTTCTCATGAATAATATTGCAACAGCTGTGCATGCTGCCTCTGATTGATTTATTTAGTTGCGGACCAGCATTGATTTATTATACCGCTTGTACATATTAGGTAGATTCTTTTATTCTGTACAAATGGGCAAAACGGTTGCGATGTCACTTCTGACGTCTTTTTCCGAGTTGGGATGGATACAAATCGATATCGTTGATTATTATTTAAATTAACCTCATTATTAATTAACATAATTAATGAATAAATGGCAATATGTATCGCTAATTATAGAATCGATATCGTTTCATAATTACATCTTTAAAATTTGTTTGCTCTAATTATAATTGTAAATGTTGGTAATAAATAGTAGGAAAATAGACAAAATCTATGCATTTTCGTATTGTTTTGTAAATTTTTTTTGTGATGCAAAATAAAAATGCTAATGTTTCTGCTATGTTTTGTAAATTTGCTAAAAGTTTAATGCGTAGTTTGATATTTTTATGTTGAAATTATCGAGATTCGTATATTGGAAAGAGATAAAACTAGTGTAATATTTAATGAAATATTTATTTATTTTGCCTCTTAACAATCTTTTGAAAAGCTTTTATTTTAGTTAAAATCGTTATTTAAAGCTTTTAAATATTTAATCATTTAGATTTCATTTTTTAAAATTAAAATTCATATTCTTTTCATTTCAAGAATTCAGAACGTTATTTAGATTTAAAAGAATGAATTATTAATTAAAAAATCAATGGAGAATTAATAGGACGAATTTTTTAAATTAATTCTATTATAGGAAAGTTTTGGAAATTATTAATGTAAGCTGTAAGATCGTACATTTTTGTCGTTTCTCGGAAAAATGCAGAATTAAAGATACGATTTATGTTTACAATTAATCAATTTACAGAATTTTTGAATTAATTATTAATAGAAAAACTTTCGAGAATTGTTGCTTAAGATAATTTACATCGATATGCACGATTATTTCAAGCATTATTGGAAGAAAAAATTAAAGTAATTACATTTGAACTTCTAATAACGGTCAATTTTTCAGGAACGTTTCCTTTTGGAATGTAAATAAAATAACCTCTGAACAACGGCTATTTCTTATGTTTCCGTCAGTGGTCGTTGTTCATAGGCTTGACTTTAACATCACTTCTATCTAAGAAAACTAAAAAAATTAAATTAAATTGTTTAACAGTTTAATAGATGTATATACTTTTAATTTACAAAAAAATGTTAAGAGTTAATGTTCAAGATAATTAAAATTTCTTGAAAAGTAAACGTACTATCAAAATTTTTCTGTAAAACACAATTAAAACACGAGAGAAGTTTATAAATTTAATAAATATATAAAATTTAAAAAATATTTTTTTCTTATTAGAAAGAATTTTATGAATCGTTGCTTAAGAATTCCGGGATAACTAGATTTAAATCTGTGTTCGTTTCGTGCATTGTGTGCTTGAGATAAAACATTGTTATCGTAATTTATTGCTAGAAACTGAACCTTAACGGATTTTTTTTAAAGTCGAGTGTGTAATAAATATGATAAAAGAAGCGACTTTAGCGTAAAATCGTTGGAGATGAAAAAAGATGCAACGGATCAAGAACATTTCGTCACACCGGAGGATAGCAACCAGGACGACTTTCTCTTTTTTTATTTCCTTTGCTGCATAGGAGGCAGATGCAAAGGAGGACACAAAACACAGTTACGCAACTATCAAAGAAGCCGATAAAGGCGTAACGAGTCCTCTTTTGATTTGGATGTGATCCATCTCCGATATTTTCCAGCTCAAAGCACCCATACTGTTATGCCTCATTTGTTTCGCGAGTGTTAGGTCGTTTTACGCTCCGTAAACTATGACCGCTTTTCTGGATCTTTCTAGAAAAAAAAATAAATATATAGATATATAGGCACACATGAGTGTTTTCAGAAGTTAAACATTATTATTATTATTATTATAGTAGTACCGTAGTAATGGTATTGATATAATTGCCGAACTCTTATTGATCTTAACATCGTTCCATTAGTCATATTTCGGTTAATTACCGAAGTGATGACATCACTGGATCAACTTTATTGTTAGATGAGTAGACAAATTCCGAGTGGGATGGAACGCGGAAAGACAAAATGGCGCCCATCTGGCAATAGCGTATCGGAAGCGATTATCACCAGCTACCTTACTGGACATGTCTGGCCATTATTCGTTTTCTATTGTATCCAACAGGATTTGTCGAAATAGGGTGAAATATGAGTTTCATGAGAGGCGCACGTGTGAAATTTTCGTTCGGTTATGACGTCAGTATGGTTTTTTTGCCTATTTTTTCTGCCAACATTCGTCACACGCTTCCGAAGTAAGTCCTGAAGATAATGAATTTATTCAATTAATCTTTTCGATTATCTTTACTTCTAATAGGATTAAATGCTTTAAATTTTTTATTGATTATCTGCAGTTTTTTTTTGAATGGCCTATGTTCAGTGGTCAAAGTGACTTTCTCACCTGAATTTCAGGGACCTCACCGAGTTTTTGGTAGGAATATGAGCGTCTCTAACTTAACTCTTATACTACTTCAACCGGATGCATTGCGAGTCCAACCAAGCTCGAGAAATACATTGTTAAGAGGTGCAGACTCGATGGACGGTGTAGCGCCATCCATCATATCTGTCTTTATCCCACTAACCTTATGACAGAGTCCCGACATCACACCTGCGAACCCAACTATTGGCTCTTTTATTCTTTTTCCTAACGCCCACAGCAGCGTAAACATCGGACAAATAACACGTCAAGAGTTATTTCAAAATGATAAAACACGAAGAAGAATGATCCTTCTTACATCCGCCATCTTGAAATTCAATGGAAATTAAACGTTACCAAGTGGGGTGCTTTATAGCCAACTTGTGGAGTCCGTGATATGTGTGAAGTCTTACAAGAGGCTAATGATGGAAAAATAACATTGCAGTTTTTTCCTTTCAGAGAAAAAGCCCGAAGCAAAGCTGAAAGCGTATTCTATAGTCAGAACGAAGTGTAAATTAAGATTTCCAATTGTAAAATTGAATAATTTGTTTAAAATTTTAATAAAATCAAAACGTATTTATATTATTAATAAAATAACTAAAAATTAAACGAATTATTATATTTTGCTTTAGTCAACTTTCTTTGTTTAATGTGAAAAGTTCAAGTCATTTTCATATCGAAAAAGCGTCTAAACAACGAAAAAAAAAAAAAAAATGAAAAATAGCAATATTTAAACGATCATATCGTCAACTAATGTGACAAATTAGTCATCTGACGTCATATCGGGAATGTCACCTGAATATTTATAGGTCGCGTGCAGTTTGACAATACGTGGCTGAATATCCACGCGACTTGTCAGCGGCGGAGGTCTGACCATATTCTAGCAAGTAAACTCTCCAAAAAAGTAACAATAGATTGTGGTCCGTGTGGGATTTTTGTTACTGTTTGATGAATTTGTAATGAGGAGATTGCGATTGGGCTGGGTTTTCTGTCATCTCCTTCATTCTACTAAGAGAAATTTTAATTTAACTTTTCTGTATAGTTGATGGATTTTTTACAGAAACTTTTGTCGAAATCTTTCTTTTGTAAGAGACATTTTAAAAAGATTTTAATCTGTTATTCGTCTGGCTTGAAGTTAATGCTTCAGAGGATGGAAGAAATCTGATATTTATATATATATAAAAGACACGAGTTATCGAGGAGCCAGATCGACATTTTGTAAAAACCGATTTAATTATTCAGTTAATATTAAATGATTTAAATATTTGATGAAGCAAAATGTACTAGTTAATTGCAATTATAGATCGAACATTAATCTATGTGAAGTTATTGAACAGCAAAGCTTTTACAGTGTCTCCATCAGTTTCTACAGACTTGGATGTAATTCCGAAACTGTGAAGGTTATAATAGGTAAGTTTTAACTGTACTAGCGTAATATAAATCCCATTTATCCCTATAAGTTAGAAAGGAACCCAGGTGACTTTCAGTCCCTTGGTGGCACCTCTAGATCGACACCTGCTTTAGATTGAAGCAAGCATCAAAGTGAAGTTCCTATCAAACCGTTATAAAAAGGACGTCAACATAGAGTTGACACTACAGATTTTCTATTGTTCCCCCTTTACGTCCATCAGGGATGGAGAGGGTTGCTAGGACACCCGACGACTCTAAGCCTTCCGGTCCTGTATCTAAATGTAGAACGTGTCAACAGAAG